GGCATAAAGTCTATATTGCCTCACTTAGGCAAAAGAACAATGACATGTCTGCAGCTGTTCCTTCCAACTTAGTAACAACAGTTACCAGCCAGCTATACGCTGCTTGTCTATCGGCCTAACGTTATTAACACTTTTAATCCTCAACTCTTCTTTATATCCCATTTATTCAACTGTAAATAAATTTGGTTGGCTGTCTTTACCATTTGTCTCAGTGCTTCACTTTTTTAACCCAACTTACTGATTTTCCCTTTCCATTCAAGTATTCTTGCCATGAATTCTGCTCATTTTGATCACTTCTGTTGCCTAATCTCCCCGAACTGATATGTTCATACAATGACAGTTTGTACATAGAAGTCCATTTTCTAGAAAGAGAAATGGAGCCTCAAAAATTTATGTGATTAGATCATTGCAGGGCTGAGATCAGAACTCAGGTCTCAACTTGTTTATTTTTAATGGTATAATCTGCTTTCTCTCTCTCCCACCAAAAAAAAAAAAGTGTCCCCATTGATTTAGGGCACTGATTCTCCAACTTTCCTGAAACTCAGAGTCAGCTGTGTTGATTTATAAAAACGCCGACTCTTTGGATCCAGGGCAGGTCACTGAACCCTAGCCTTTGGGAGTGGGGCAAAAGAAACTGTATTATCAAAAGGCATTGCAAAATTTTTAAAAAATGTTTTAAAGAAAAAGAAAAAAAATAAAATAAAAATAAAACCAGACTTGCCAGGTAACTCTGATGCTTAGCCAGGCTTGGAAACTATGCGGAAACTCCAAATTCTCCAGGTCGCCGTGTGTTTTCCTCTCCGGGACTCTTACCCTAATGACCTTTTTCCTCTTCCTAGTGGACAAAGCAACATTCATGGTTGGCAGCTACGGGCCCCGGCCCGAGGAGTACGAGTTCCTCACTCCCATCGAGGAGGCCCCCAAGGGCGTGCTGGCCCGGGGCACGTACCACAACAGGTCCTTCTTCACAGACGACGACAAGAACGACCACCTCACCTGGGATTGGAACCTGTCCATTAAGAAGGAGTGGACAGAATGAGTGCGTCTCCCCATCCCTCTCCCCACCTTGCCCCCTGGAAGGACACCCCCCCAACCCAGCCACGTTCACCACCCTGTCCCTCCCCGTCCACGGCTGGGTCCCCCCTACACACGGCCCTCATCCCGCTCCGTGTCTCACGGTGCTCCCCAACACGCGGGGCTTAGACCTGGCCTTCCCCCCGGCCTGTCGCCGGGATGCTCCACCCGGGCCGAGCGTCCGCATTCTCCATCTCACCACCACGCGGTCCTGTTTCCCCGCCCGTCACTCCCATTTCGCCACCTGGAGGCCAGGAAGCTGGCAAACCATCGCCAACAGTCCCTCTGCCTCGGTTCCCCACCCTTCCCCATCCCTGGATTCCTCAAGGTGGTTGCTGCTGGCCCCATAACTCCCTAGCCACATCCATCCCCCGCCAGTTGGGGTCCTTCTTTTGTGGGAGACGCTGTAAACAGTGCTAGAGAGTATGAATAAAATGACTGTTTGTTCCGAGACCCTCGTTTTTTCTGTGTTCTCCCATTGAACAAACGTGGCAAGTGGACGATTCCCATTTGTGAGTGCCCTGCGAGGGCGGGGGAAGAGGGGGACACTCTAGAAGGGGTGTTTACATCATCACTGGGGGCACATTGGTCCCTCTGATACGCTGCAATGGGCAATGGGCATTCAGGATGCGGGCAACGGAAAATCCAAGTGTATTAGTGATTTCTCTTATAATAGTCTCACGTGGAAGCTTATCCTAAGCTCCAGACCTCTAGATCCCAGTGCCCGTGGAAATCTCCCCTTGGGTTTCCCTCAGGCACTTGGCCAAATCAAATATTGACTCTTTCTCCTGCTTGAGACCTTTGGGCGGGTTTCCAACACCTGCAGAATAAAGTGGAAGCCCCTGCACTTGGCTTAGTGCATAAGGCCCTCGGGAGCTGGCCCCAGCGTGCCTTTCTGCCCACGTTTACCCTTCCATTATTTTTGGTGATGCTCAATTACTAATAATTCTTTCACACACATTATAGTTGCATCTCTGCGCTTTGGCTCTTTGCAAGGAAGTCCCTTTGTACCTTCTGTGGCCTTGGCAGGCCCTTATTCACCCAGCACCCTGCTTGCGAGTCCTCAGCAGGAAAAACATCTTCACGGCGCCCTGTCATTGCCCTAAATACCCTCAGTCTGTACTCTTGTAGCCCCTATGAATTTTTCTACTTTTTATCACTTTCCATCTTATATTTAAATGGTCTTTTTATCTGTTCATCTCTCCCATGAACAATCTAAGCTGGCAGATGCCAGATCAGAGCACAGTTATCTTTGTATCCCTAGCGCTTAGGTCAATACCTGGCACAGAATATCTAATTTTTTTTTATTTAAATAAACCGACCTGACTTTCTTCTGGTTGGTTATGTTCTGAGGCCCTGTCACCAAACTTGGTCTTTTATCTCAGACGTTGAAGGTTCCCCTCGAGCCAGCTGCAAAGTTCCCAGAGCGCTGATATAAGCCCACAGCCCAGTTAGCTAGACAGTGGGCCTCCCTGAATCGGCACCCCAAAACACGAAGTTCAGGGTCGGAGCAGGAGAGGAGCAATGGAAGCTGCCCAGTTTACATGCCTGTTTCTCCTACTTCTTCTCGCGTGTGAGCTGCTGCCAGAAGTTGGTGCAGAAGTTGAGAAATCCTCAGGTAAAGCAAAAACGCACTTGGGTGACCATATGGTGAAACTGTCATTAGGAGCAGGGAAGGGAACATGCCCAAAAACGCACTTGGGTGACCATATGGTGAAACTGTCATTAGGAGCAGGGAAGGGAACATGCCTCCAGGTACTTACTCTCCAGGTACTTACTCTCCAAACCTAGAGACCTTTCCAGGAAATGCTGGATAAGATCTGCGTTGTCTAGTAGAGAGGAGAGAAGTCTGGCAGTATCCTTCAGAGAGAGACCATAAGTAGGGTCACCCTCCATATGTTAGCAAAACAATAATGCCTTGGAATGGTAACAGCACTCCTAGAAATTGTGATCTCCTTGGCCTTTGTATGGAGAGAAAAGGTATGGATGCCTTCATTATTTAGAGCTGCTTCTTCTCCCCTTAGTACCCTGACACTCTCTCTCTCTCTCTCTCTCTCTCTCTCTCTCTCTCTCTCTCTGTTGTACTCCGTCATTCTCCCTCTGTCTAGATGATCCTGGTGCTACCCAGGAACCCACGTGGCTCACAGATGTCCCAGCTGCCATGGAATTCATCGCTGCTGCTGAGGTGGCTGTCCTAGGCTTCTTCCAGGTTAGTCCAGATGTTCCACTTGCTATTTCCCCAAGAACCACAAATGTTCTATCTCGCGGGAGCCATGACGGTCACCTGCTAGACCAGATGACACTGCATTAGAAGTGGAGGTGGGGCACGGGGTCTGCTTTCAGTTTGTCAGTTGAGACCTCTAAATTTCAACGCATTCCCAATCTCTGTGCCTTTCTCATACTTGCTCCGAGAGTCCTGAGTCTGCTGGCTGGATCTCCTCATCTATGGATGCTTTGAAGCTTAAGTCTGCAGGAAGAATGTCTCCATCAAACCCTCCCATTGTCCTAAATGCCTTTAACCTGTACTCTCGTAGCACTCTAAGAATAGGCAGGGGCTAGAAGAACCCCAACTTTCACCAACCAGCAACACTTTCAACTGTACGTCAAACCCTCTGGGCATCAGTCAATAGTTACCTCTGTCTAAATTCTTTTCCCAAATGGGTAGAATCATTCTTCTTTCTCTTTGCCTTCTCTAAAATGTTCTCTAAAATGTTGGAAAAGGATGATGTTTTGTATGTTGAAAAAGTGTTAAAATCCATCTTTCGGATTGGCTGCCTGGCTAACAAAGGCAGTCATAAATGGGAGGGCATCATTCCAGCATTTTCATCTTTCTCTGTGGGTAGCATCTGGCACCTCTCACAGCTGATCAAGTCCCTACTCTCGTGGCAGACCTTCTTGTCTGTTTCCATTCATTAATTCCCACTTACGGTCACCCTGCGGATTCTGTGTACACAGCTGGAAATAGCTGCAAGGAGATGCAAGTGGGAGAAGAAGACAGGGAGTACATTTTTCAGGGATGAGAAATCTTAGCTGTAGACAAAAACAGCCACCCTCAGAAAGACAGGGAGGGGCACCAGCGTGGGACTCGAGGAGTGTGCAGTAACTTGAACAGCCACCAGATGGCGTCATTTCATCCTTGAGCGATTCCATTAGAAGGAGCAGAATAAAAGAGAAAACCTCAATTAATAATTGTTTGTAGCCCCTGGTGAACTCCACACACCCCTTCAGAAGAGCAAGGTTCCAACTCCCCCTTCTTGGCTCCAGATACAAAGCTAGCCATCTTATTTTCTCCCCTCTTTTCTCACCATTTCCCCCCCTCCTCCTTCTGTCCAGGGAGATGCAGGGAAGAATGTGTTCATTCCTGTTTGTTTACTTATTTATTTGTTTTTATTTCAGAATATTACAGGGGTACAAACGTTTTGGTTACATAAATTGCTTTGTAATGTTTGAGTCAAGGTTATCAGTGTGCCCAGCTCCAGGCAGTGTGCCTTGTACCTTTTGGGTATGAATCCCCTCCTCCCTCCTGCTAGATTTCTAATGAATGTTATTTCCATACATGCACATAAGTGTTGATTGATTAGTTCCAATTTAACGGTGAGTACATTTGGTATTTTTTCCCTTTCTTGTGATACTTTACTTAGAAGAATTGTCTCCAGTTCCATCCAGGTTAATGCAAGAGGTATTAGTTCACCATTTTTTTTTTTTATGGCTGAGTAGTATTCTGTGGTATACAAGTGCCCAAGTGCCCATCAATACATGAGCAGATTAATAAAATGTGGCATATGTATACCATTCCTGTTTGTTGACTAGAACTGCAGTGTGCAAAGGTCCTGTGGCAGCAGGGAAAATGTTGCCAGTCTCTGTGGAAGGACTGGCATCATCACTCAGAAGTGGCCTCCCTGCTCCCTCCTGCAGGTCTGGGCTGCAGAGTTGGATGCATGAACCTGTGCAAAGCTCAGGTTTATCTACTGTGACAAGAAACGAACCGTTCTTCCACATCCTGCACAAACCTTTGTTAATAAAACTTCTAAGCTTCTACTCTAATTTCTTTTCTTCTTCTTTTTTTCTTTTTGACCCTTTTGACAGCACCTATTTCTTAAGTTTTGCATTTTTTTCATTCCCAAAACAGTTGCCTCTTTAGCTGTATCAATGACAGTGCAGCCCAATTCCATAGGCACCTATGATTTTGAGGCCTTTCTCAGCTACTAGGAAACTTCATGCTCTATGATAAGGCCAGATGCAAGTCCCAGGCTTAGCCACAATTGTGGTAATTACCTATGAATTCACACAGCCTGGAAAATTCAAGAATGCCACTGCAAATCTAGCCTGCATTCTTAGAGGTAAATGATCTTTCACGAGGCACTAAATCGAGACTATAATTTCTGATATGAGTAACCCTATTTCTCTTCCCTATTCTATGTTCCCTTCCTCCAAAACAACCTCTGTGGCATTTTTTTTCTTCTTGTTTTTAGGATTTAGAGATACCAGCAGTGTCCGTATTCCGTAGCATGGTGCAGAAATATCCAGACGTGCCATTTGGAATCAGCACCGACTCTGGGGTTCTGGCCCACTACAACGTCACTGGGAACAGCATCTCCCTCTTCCGTCTTGTAAGTTGGGCAGCTCTAGCCCCCTCCTGCGTTTCCCTTAGGCTGTGGACTCATAAACTTGTGAGCCTGGAAAGGACTCGCCGTCTTTGACACTAACAACAGTGCCAGACTCAGGGACGTTGTTGACAAGGATGATGACTCAACTCAAGCTTCCCAAACAGGTGCTGTAATGAAATGGAAAGAGAACTGGACTGAGAGTCAGGAAAGGGCATTTGTGGCACTGCTGTTTCCCTCAGCAGCCACGTGACTTCCGGCAAGTCGGTTAACATTTTTTAGCTTCAATTCTGTCATCCGTAAAATAGACTGTGTCATCGTTGCACGATTTTGAGCTTGAAAATTTATCTTAAATCTTTGGGAGTTTACTTAATGTTTACCAAACACTTGTTTAAACATTTCCTTGTGCCCAAGGCACTGAAAATAAAGAAAACATATTAAATATATTCTCCATTCTCATAGATCTTAAAGTATAGCAGAAATTGTAAACATAGTATACAGGTATCTATAATACAAAGAGCATTTCTGTGGTTAAAATGTTACAAGGGTTCAAGGCTAAAAGAAGTGTGGGAATTCTGAAAAAAAAAAATATGAAGAAGTCAACAGAACTGGGATTTAAAGAACAGATAAAATTTGGACAACGTAAAGGAGAATTCATGGCCAAGGGGGGAAAATTGAACTTGGGAAGCGATGCACAGGCCAATCTGATTGAATCCCAGGGTACGTGTTGGGGGGAAATAAATATAAGACAGGAAAACTTGATTGAAATCATATTGTGGAGAAATTAGAATACCAGCTTAATGGGTTTGCATCTAATTTGGTTGTCACTAAAAAGCCACTAAAGCTTTT